TAGAAAAAGGCACATTGGTTGGTACTAGTGAGGAAGTGGATTGGTAGCGTCGGTGCGAATATCTATCGACCGGGACCCCCAGCAAGGATGGACAAACGAGAGTGACCACACTTTTAGAAGACTGTCGCAGCGTTCTTTCCCCGAATGAAATGGTCAAGACGAAGAAGTTGTTACTCAAGTACGCCAATGTTTTCTCGTCAAACGAAGCTGACATAGAAAAGACTGGCTTAGTTCAACACAAAATAAACACAGGACAAGAATTGCCTATTCGTCAGCAGCCAAGAAGATTGCCTGTAGCACGTGAAATGGAAGTGGAAACCATGATTGAGGGAATGGTGAAGGATGGTTTTATTGAACCTTCATCTAGTCCATGGTGTTCACCTGTGGTGCTGGTAAAGAAGAAGGACGGCAGCATGCGGTTTTGTGTTGACTACCGCCGCCTGAATGACGTTACAAAGAAGGACAGCTATCCCTTGCCAAGAATTGATGACACGCTGGACACGCTTACAGGCGTAAAGTGGTTTAGTACGTTGGATCTGAAAAGTGGCTACTGGCAGGTTGAAATTGACCCTAAGGACAAGGAGAAAACTGCATTCTCCACAGGAAAGGGTCTGTGGCAATTTAAAGTCATGCCGTTTGGATTGTGCAATGCTCCAGCAACGTTTGAAAGGTTGATGGAGCTTGTACTTACCGGGCTAATTGGAGATGCCTGTCTGGTCTATTTGGATGACATCATCATCGTAGGCCGTACGTTTGAGGAACACCTTCAAAACCTGGAACGCGTGCTCATGAAGATCCAGAGTGCCAACCTCAAGTTGAGTCCGAAGAAGTGCTCACTATTCAAACGGCAAGTTAGTTTTTTGGGGTATGTAGTGTCGGAAGAAAGTATCCGCACGAATCCAGAGAAAAGTGCCGCTATCAAGGAGTGACCGGTTTCAAAAGCAAGACACAGGTTAGAGCATTATTGGGTTTGTGCACTTATTATCGGCGATTTGTGAAGAACTTTGCAGATATAGCCACCTCTGCACAAGCTAACCGAGGAGAAGCGACATTTCTGCTGGGATGAAAGTTGCGATATTGCATTCCAGGAGCTCAAGAACCGTTTGTGCAAAACACCTATTTTGGAGTGCCCTGATGCGGGCAAGGAATTCATAGTTGACACAGACGCAAGTGATATAGGACTTGGCGGTGTGTTGTCTCAACGGAATGGTGATCAAGAGATTGTTATAGCGTACTTCAGCAGGTCGTTGTCAAAGCCGGAAAGGAACTATTGTGTCACAAGACGGGAATTGCTTGCTGTGGTAAAGTCCTTGCAGCATTTTAGCAAATATCTCCTGGGGCGGAAATTCTACTTACGAACTGACCATGCTGCACTGAAATGGCTATTGCAGTTCAAAAATCCGGAAGGACAAGTTGCGAGATGGATTGAACTACTACAGGAATACGACTTTGTGATCGAACATCGCAGCGGGAAATCTCATGGCAATGCAGATGCATTATCAAGATGACCTTGCCCTGAAGATTGCAAGCAATGTACTAGGCAAGAGGGTAAATAAGTGGTATCTGCGAGGATCTGCGAGGATATTATAGATTAATGCTCCTAAGCCCTAGTGGAGCGACGTCTCAGCTATGAGTTTGACCACGAAAAGCTATTGGACCCAATGGGATAGCTTGCTGATTCAGGATGGAGTCCTGTGCCGTAAATGGGAAAATGGTCGGGGAGACAGGTGTCATTTGCAAATGGTTGTCCCTAAGGCTAAAGTACCGGATGTTCTACAGCTGTACCATAGTGGTTGTTCAGGAGGTCACCTGGGAGTTAAACGAACTCTCCTGCAGATCCGAGAACGGTTTTACTGGGTCCACTGTCGTGACGATGTCGAGGACTGGTGCCACAAATGTACAAGTTGTGCGGCTGTAAAGGGACCTCAAATTCGTAGTAGAGGCGCATTGAAATTGTACAATGTTGGTGCACCATGGGAGAGGATAGCCATTGACGTTGTGGGGCCGTTTCCAGAAACTGAAAGTGGTAACAAGTATTTCATGGTTGTGATGGATTACTTCATTAAGTGGCCAGAAGTTTTCGCCATTCCAAATCAAGAAGCTTCAACAGTTGCAGATAAACTAGTTCATGAAGTCTTCTGTCGTTTTGGAGTACCTTTAGAGATTCACAGCGATCAAGGAAGGAATTTTGAGTCTCAAATATTCCAGGAAACTTGCCGAGTTATGGGTACGTACGTACGTAGAAAACACGAACAACTTCTTACCACCCGAAATCTGATGGAAAGGTAGAAAGATTTAATCAGACATTGGAGAGGTACCTAGCAAAAGTTGTGGAAAAACGGCAATGAGACTGGGACAGGCACATACAACCGTTTTTGTTGTCATATCGAAGCGCTGTTCACGAAAGTACATCAGTGACACCAGCTTTCGCAAACTTTGGGAGAGAATTGCGGCAGCCTTCAGACCTGATCACCGGAATACCACCTGATGCCCCACGCAGTATAACCGATTATGCAAATGACTTGCGGAACAAAATAAATGACATTTATGAGCACGTCAGACAGACGGGCCAGCAAAAGTCTGAGAAGATGAAAACACGGTATGACCGCAAAATTAACAACAAGGGGTTTGATGAATGTTCACTAGTGTGGTTACACAATCCAGTTCGCAGCAAAGGGAAATCTCCTAAGCTTCAAGCTAAATGGGACGGACCGTACCGGATTGTGACAAGGATCAATGACGTAACCTACCGGATACAGAAAGGTGCCAGAGGTACTCCTAAGATTGTCCATGTGGATCGACTGGCGCGTTGTTATGGGACCAATAATGCTCGGGACGAGCATGTCTTAGGAGGGGGCAGTGTTGCGCGCCACTATTAATGTCTTGTACATGGCAACACTAGTTATACTAGCGCTCTCTAGTGTCGAGTAAAAGAAAGTGTTGCGCGCCACTATTAATGTCTTGTACATCGCAACACTAGTTATACTAGCGTCCTCTAGTGTCGAGTAGCAGAACTAGGAGAGTCGAGATCCTTCCAGAAATTTCGGGACCGATATGTACTCGAACATTCTAGATGTCGCTGCAGTAGAAGGTTCTGGAAACTATCTGAGGCCCTATATAAGGCCGGTATAGACCACGACCACGACATTATTGAATTGGCGATACAAGAGAATACTTCGAAGCGAAATAACGGCGAACTGTGTTTTATTATTAGTGTGATTTTAGATTGTAATTAGTGTTGTGTAATTAAAGTATCAATTTTGGTAATTCAATCGGCAGTTTTTCATTGTCTCAAAGCAAGCTCGTAACAATACTATACAATATTCAGAAACAGACACAACATGTTATTACCATTTTTATTATATGTATAGATTTAAAGAGAGATGGCGCTGTTAACATCAATTCTAAAAATAAGAGATTAATTGACACGATTGATACAATAAAAAACATAAAAGAACTTATAAATCAGTGCCTGCATAGTAAGCAAAAAAGAAAGTTTGATCCTCGCCGAAAAACGAAATTCTTAATAGCTCTTAAAATTTGATTTACCACATAAGAGTACTCGGCGGTGAAAAAATAAAAAATAAATGAGATTGTCAACACGCAGCAGGGCAGCGTGTCGTTAATATAAAGGTCATAGCACACTTAAACGACTCTGCTCCAACACCGCTCCCACTCAACACCGCCCTAAACTAAGACGACTGCTCACAGTCCACGCGGTGACAGCTAGCTGGCACCCAGCAGTCCACGCGGCGACAGCTAGCAGACGGCCTGCTATCCACCCGCCGACCGCTCTCGCTTTTCGCGATAGCCACAGTTCGCGATCGGTTTCCATTAAAGCAACTCGTATTTTTTACTATGTCCCGATTCACAACGCACGAACTAGTAATTATTGCTATTGCACTTGAGGATGAAGAGAGAAGCGCAAAAACTAACAGGCGAAGATTTTGGGTGCATAAAATGCTGAAAGCAAGACATGCAGAAGGAGAATTTTGGCAGATCCAGAGACACCTATTAGATGACGAAGAAAAATTCTACAGTTACTTTCATATGGATCGGTACTTATTTGACTACATATTATCATTTAGTGAAAAAGACATAACAAAGAAGAATACGAAATTCAGACAAGCAATAACACCAATAGAAAAAATTGCCGTCACGTTAAGGTAAGTGAAAGAGAAACTTTTCTTGTAAATTTGTACACTTTTATTTGAAAAAAAAAATAGTACCAATCAGTCTCTAATTTCCATTACTTATCATCAGTGATCGGAATAGGGTGAGTATATTTACCTACATTTTATGGAACAGAGACAAAAATCGGAGACTTCCTTATAACAAAAATTTTTTTTACTGTTAAATTTACCAGAACTTTAATTACATGAATTTAAACGTCTTATTTATTCAATAAAAACATTTATTGCGTTAATATTCTTCCTAGCGTGTATGCGTAGGTATATGGATGTGGAGGAAGCGAGAGAGGTGTGTCAGGATCGTGCCAAATGGAAGTCCATAATCTCTGCCTACCCCTCTGGGTGACAGGCGTGAGTGTTTATGTTATATGTTATGTTATTCTTCCTATGAGTTTTTTTACATGGTGCAACATTTTTAATGACTTAAAAAAAGTTTTCAATTCGACTGTTTTTATTGAATTGATAAATGTTTTTATTGAATTAATAAGACGTTTAGATTGACGTAATTAAAGTTCTGTTAAATTTAATAGTAAAAATTGTTTAATTATAAGGAAGTCTCCGAATTTTGTCTCTGTTCTACAAACTGTAGGTAAATATACTCACCCTATTCCGATCACTGCTTATCACTTACAATGTTAACTCAACATTAATAAGGAAACAGTTTTCTAGCACATTTTAATCTTAGGAATCATTTTTCTGTGTAGCATAGCCAATTCACTGTTCAATATCGGTTCTTCTAAGACTGCAGGATAATTGCCTGAAAGCTGTTCATTGCGGGTATTAAAGTCGGAAGGGCCTGCATTATGGATGTTATAATCCGAAGATCTTGCATTGCGGGTATCCTATATTGTGAGTGTTACAACCCGAAAGTCCTGTATTGTAGGTGTTATAACCCGAAGGACTTTCGATATCAGTATTGTGTCGTGAAGAACCAGCATAGAAATTAGTTTGTTCTTGGATTTCTTGTAATTCAAATTCAGACACCATGTTGAATATTCTAGATATCAGAACAGATTGGCTGTAACGATTTAATTTTTTTACTGTTGTTGCAATTCTCGAAAAAAACTTGTCAATCTCGTCATCCTTATTTGTCTCTTTTTCTTTAAGTAAATATTGTAAAAGTTGAGCTGATGCTGAGGTACATTCTTGGATCCCTTTGAATCGCTTTCTTTTAGGTATGTTCGGAAACAAAGGATAGTTTGCTGACATATTTGTTGAAGAAGATTCTGGTCGGTTGGTGATATTAAGTTCTGGGTCAATCGATGACATGGAAGAATCATCGTGATTTGACAACAATTCGTTAACATAAAAATTATCGTCAACCTCACTATCATCTTCCGTTAATGATGAAATTGTTTTTGTTTGTTTCATATGCGACAACAAAAAAGACATCTCTTCTTCAAATTGCCATTTTTTTGATGAGATAGCAGCCTGACCACTTTTTGTGCGTTTCTTAACAACTGCCCTTCTATAGCTTTCTCTTAAGTTTGCCCATGTTTTCTTGCACTCTGATTCTGAAAAAGAAAAAACGAAGTGAAGAGATGTCTAGGTGTGTTTATTTTTGTTTAGAAATATTAATAGAGAAAGTTTTGTTTCAGATACATGATCACGGGAAGTTCAGCAAGGACGTTGAGTTCAAGCTTTAGATTATGCAAATCAACAATCCGATCAATTATAAAAGAAGTATGTAACGCAATCATAAACAAATTAATGGGAATTTTCATTCCAACGCCAATTGAAGAGAGGTGGAAAAGTATAGCTCAAGGATTTCAAGACAGATGGAATTTTCCAAATTGCATCGGCGCTATAGATGGGAAGCATGTCAACATCATAGCACCTGCTAATAGTTGTTCGCTGTATTTTAATTATAAAAAGCACTTTTCTGTTGTCCTATTGGCTGTGGTTGATGATAAATATAGATTTATAATAGTTGATATAGGTGCTTTTGGTAGAAATAGTGACGGTGGAATATTTGCATCTTCGAAATTAGCGAGACGTGGAAGTAACAGAGATATACCACATGTTTTCATAGGACATGAGGCGTTTCCTCTAATGAAAAATTTAATGAGGCCATACCCTCGTTGTCGTGGCTTATCTGAGGCACAAACTATATTCAATGAACGTTTATTACGAGCACGCAAAGTTGTGGAAGATGCATTTGGAATATTGTACCAGAAATTTCGCATTTATAATAAAAGTATTAATATGAACCCGATTCACGTTGACACATTGATACTAGCGACATGTATTTTACATAATATTATGCGAAGTTATGAAATAGAGTATCTAAATCAACATGAGATACAGCAACCAATACATCACAACGAGAATGGTTTCCTGCAACCAATACTAGAAAACGGAATGAACAGTGCCGAAAATGTTTTTAATATTCGAGACTTGTTTTCATCTTACTTTCAATCTCCTGAAGGTCAAGTTTCATGGCTGCATCAAAATATTTAATAACGAGGAAAAAAGTAAAAACAACCTTCATTTAAAAAATATATTTTGTTTTATGAAAAATAAATATCTTATAGACTACAACAAAGGTTATTATTTCAACATGTACTTTAGCTTTATCAATTCTTCTCGAGTTATAAGCGGACAGACGAACAGAAAGAGACAGACAGATAAGTATTTCGAAATCAAAATTTTCGGTATCATAATTTTAAGGCCTTAACAGTGGTTGAAATGCCTAAATCTAGGATATTTAAGTAAAAAAATCTCAATAACTGTTCATTTAATCCACAAAGAAAAAATACAGGGTAACAGAAGAAGATTTGGTAAATGTTTTTAATTTAACAAAATTGTATTTTTGTCAACCCCTTATTAGAAAAAAAATCCCCAAAGAGTACCTATCTTTGTCATATTTTGCAAAATTTCTCCAAAACGGCACAAGCTTTTTAAATAGTTCTTACACTAAAAAAAAGGTCTTAAAAATATTAATATTTTTAATTGAGAGTTTTATTTTTATTATCCGTTTTATAACAGAATATATCATTTTTCCCTGAAATTGAATACATTTACGCGAGCGCGCATGCTCCGTCGCCATGTAAGCTCTGTCACAGTCCGTTTTCGGACATCGTCGAGGGTGGACCGCACGTCGGTGTTGGAGCGACTTCGTTCAAATATATATTAGTTTTTTATAAGTTTATACTCAATTATAAATATTTTTATGCCTAGAAATACTTAATTTAGTTAATATCTGTACACTGGTAACTGTAAATATTATTTTCTAAATATATGAATTTTTAAAGTGCCCAAAGAAGAAGAAATTTTCGCAGCGACGTTGATTAGTCAAATTGAAAAATGCATTTTTATATAATTTAGATGTGGAACGACGAACATGGTCTCGTTACTTAGATTTCGATAGTTTTTAATACCTATGTAATTTTATTGTTGCATATTTTTATTAATTAGTTGATACTGAATTTTATAATTATGTATTACAATACAACGCTGTTTTTATGAGTATGACTTTATAAAATATTATTGGGGAGGGAAATAAAGATACAGATACTTACATTTAGATACACTGTTATCAAATTAAATCAAACAATTTAAATTAATAAAAGAATGGTGCTTACCTAAGCATAAATAACTATATAAAGACATTCTTGGGTTTATGGTTTTTTTTTTATGTTAGACAAACTATCATCTAAAAAATGTATAAATTTTAATTTGGAGAGGGGTATCTCTACGTGATAAAGTTAGAAATGAAGATATTTGCATTAGAACCAGAGTAACTGACATTAAACGGAATATTAAAGTGAAATGGCAATGGGCTAGCTATATAACTTGGAAAACCGATAAAAAATAGGAAGAAAGGTTCTCGAGTGGCAACCTCGTATAGGTAAGCGAAGTAGTACTCAACCTTTATTCCTCTTCACGTATTCTTATACGCTTTTCTTCACACACACACACACACGCACGCACGCACGCACGCACGCACGCACGCACGCACGCACGCACGCACGCACGCACGCACGCACGCACGCACGCACGCTCGCACGCACGCACGCACGCACGCACGCACGCACGCACGCACGCACGCACGCACGCACGCACGCACGCACGCACGCACGCACGCACGCACGCACGCACGCACGCACGCACGCACGCACGCACGCACGCACGCTCGCACGCACGCACGCACGCACGCACGCACGCACGCACGCACGCACGCACGCACGCTCGCACGCACGCACGCACGCACGCACGCACGCACGCACGCACGCATGTACACACACACACACACACACACGCACATACACACACACACACACACACACACACACAAATAGGTCACAAATAACCATCACCATCTTAGACTACATAACCAGCGATGGGATTGTAGTTGCTATACTACTTGCTGGGTAAAAATAGTAAAAAAAAATTACCCTGTGAAAGTTTGCATTTAGATATAACTTTTCTAACCAACCATAAAAATATGATAAGAATATGTATATAAGTATAAAGGTTGCCTCACACGGGACAGTAATAATATAATATTATTTCTTCCATTATCTACCCATGAAAACTTTTAAAATCTCTCAATCTCGAGGTATGTGCATTTTAAGAGGCTGAATGGAGCCAAGCATGGGGATCGTTTTGTAATTTCACGTCGTTATTGAAAAAGATTGTACGTATTTCAGGTGGCGGTTTGTAAAACACGATTCCACAAAAGTTCACTCAATAGAAAATAATTGCAAAGTTACTTCTGAAAATACTTAAATTTTCAACGTCAATTTTTTCTTACGTGGTAGAGCCACGCTGCAGCTATGTTAGTAGTAGGTATAGTTGTAGCACGAATGGGTCGGCTCGACCGGGGAAGGGCCATGCTCTCACAGAATACCATGTAAAATAGCAGTTTAAGCCTGCTGTGTTTCGTATGGTGAGTGTAGAGAACCGGAGAACCTTTTTACTGGAAACGAGGCGTTACATCTTAGTCCTCACGGGTGACAACGCAACTACATTTTGATACGTAATCGAGAATAGATGTAGATGTCTATGTGCCGTAGCAACCACTTACCATCAGGTGGACTGTGTGCTCGTTTGTCACCCTTATTCTATTAAAAAAAACTTTCTGAGATTTCAGTAAAATAATGTTAAGTATTGTTAGCACTAGTACAATTATGTGTCTCATGTTAATAAAGCTATTGGGCTATTTTGATTTTTAATAAAGTGATTTTACTTTATAGGTTAAATAATTTATTTACCCTTTTATATCAAGAACCGTTTTTTTCTATCACTCCTATTGCATTTGACAGTGTTTGCTGAAATTTAGCATCTTTAGATGGATCAGAATCGCCCGCTGATCCGGCTGTTAGATATTGCAAAAATAATCGAAAATATTTATTTTTACTTTCATGCCGAAGACTACCTTGTTTTATTTTATTACGGTCAAATAATATTTATTAGGTTATAAAGCAAGTATTTACAAATGTTTACATTATTTTGTTATTCTATTGTTTACAGTTATTATCACATCTTAGCTTTACACCAAGAATTACAATAGAAATTCTTGATGGGATACGATGTAACGCGCATACTTTATTTTCATCAAGAACTATAATATATATATATATATTTGCTTTTTTTACCAGTAGAGATCCAATACAATCTTAAAAAAGTTCAATGAATTAAAAACTGCTAATAATTATATAATTTCAAGTCAGTATTTTACATTTAAAGATCAGTTATAAAGTGCCAAAGTTCTTATTTTCATTTGGATTAATTTAATTCGAGACTAAAATAAATGTGAAAGGGCTTTTATCTGCAATAATAATTTTCATCAAAAATAACATAGACTTATAAAAGTCATATACACGGTCAATCATACTGAAGATTGTCAATTGTACTAAAAAATATTTAAAAGACTATTTCCAGTATAATGACCCGAATATCATCATTAATGTTTGACTGGCACACTTAAAAGTTTTATCCCATGGCTAAATAATTGACTAAATGATTGACTATACTATGTTAAGGTCATGCTTTTCTATAAAAAGTTGCAATAAATTTTTAATCACGGACATATTGGTTTGTTTTACTTTTCACTTAATTAGAGAAAAACAAGATGGACTGATCTAAAAGTTTACTTTCTTGTGTAAAAAGTGCTATTTAGAATTTAATGCAAATGATAATTAAAGTTTCTATGTAAATAAGTGTAACATAGCGGGTATTATATTCAATGGTAGCGGCCATCCATATTTGCAAAGCCAGCATCATTTTCTGTACAGAAACCGGCATAGTGTTGCGCAAGGCACTATAAACAAAGCAGCTGATAAAATGTTACACTCATAACTGTTAACAAAAACTGTTTCCGCAAATGGTCTTATAGATAATAATATCTATTTCGCCGTGTTAGGTGCAGGAGCTATTATTAGAAGGAGAAGAGGTAAAATTTTGTTTTATAAATGCGCAATCAATATTGTTTTGTCTGCAATTGAGCATAAAATAAAAAATAACTTCAGCCAAAGAGCATAACTGGCATTATACTCAGGTCCATCAATTGGCGTGGAAAAAAATAATTTTACCAGGTTTCAAAAATCCAATTAAAACTCAACAAAACAAAAATATTAAAATCAAAAAATGTATATATGTATGTTTATACATACATATAATGATTTATGGCCGCTTAGTAACTGACGGTGACTTAGTATAACATCCTACAGTCACGCCGAAACTAAGAGGAGAGAATCACTGTAGAAAAGGTAATAATTTATTGCGGAAATTTTGTGAAAAAATTAAAAAATTATAAACTTATCCAAGTTAATCTAACTTAGTCTAACTTATCCTTAAGCGTTACAAAAAAAAAACAAATAATAAAATAGTGAGATGGCATCAGTTTTTAAGAAGACAACAAAAATAAACAAAAAAATAAATTTCATAAAAGTTCAGTATTTAATTGATTATAATATACCGCTGACACTTAATCACGCTTTTCGAAACCACGCCAGTTGTAAACAATACTTGTGTGAAAAGACAAAATCTTCTTTTCAAATTTCCGCCGAGTTGTAAGTAAAAGGCCAAATAGGTCACGTGTCAATTTTAATTAAATATATTTTATATGAAGTGATCTTGACTACGTTTCATCAATTAACGATTGGTAAAAATTAAAACAGGAATTTTACGATTGTGTTTACAAAAAACATTATTAGTTGAACCTTGCAGCTTGTTCATTATGTTTATTATAAATACCTATAAATGTATATATTATTAATAAATAGTTACCATAATATTTTGTATTATTTTTTATTTTGTCCTATCTGCAATGTTCTACGCTCTATAGAAAATGTGGCATATGACATGACTGACAATCTTTCGAACGTTTTATCTAGGTACAAAGATGTTTTACGTTTTCGTCGCCTCCACATGATATTTTTGTCAGCATAAGGTACCCTTCTATATCTGAAACGAATATAAATATTGCTACAAAGTAAAGTAATATAGAGGGCTATACAAGTCCCTCTACTGGGCACAGGACTCTTTTTTTATTTCTGAGAGGGTTTAAGGGCAAGGAAATTCCCGCCATGCTTCCCCAATGTGTGTTGACGAAAATTGCAATTACAAATTTCATTCGTGCTGTCGGGGATCAAACCCGGGAAAATTTACAGCGAACGCTTTGACCCAGATCTATTAATACGATACAAATAAATACGATTTAACATATATAATAAAAAACTGTTACATACTTGAAACTTGAACACTTGATAGCTCGTGACGCCTACCGGACAAAGCTACAGCACAATGTAATTGAAGATCCGTAACCGCGACATAATTCTCAGTGATGCGCAAGCATAACAGGCAGTATGTCACTTATATAATTGTCATCTCTGCAGTCTATTAATCTTTGCACTTTTATAAGTAATACAGAACGTATTTGCTAGACGGTGTTGACATCGGCTAAAATCTCTGCGATCGCCGTTTCGTCATGGTCATTCAGGATAGTTAAAGCCTTAAGGTTATGGAGCTAAAATGTTAAAAAAAATCAATCATAAAAAATACATTTTTACCTCCACCACGTTTTAAATATAGTATGGATTGTACGTAGATTGGTACATACCTGTTGCAGACAACGTTGTAGCAATAGATTTCCATGTTTGATCCCTTTTGACAGAATCTGCGTATTTTGCGTCTCTGGCATCATACAGATAGGGATATCTTCGCACTTCTTCTATAAGTTTTTCTTTGTTCATAATGGATACGTTCAATACTTGCGAAAACACTCGGAAAGAGATCGAGTGTGCGGATTGCTTGGTAGATACTGACCGACTGGGCCATAGATAATACACTATATACCAGAGATAGATGCGCCACTCACATTTTAGTTTTCGAATGAGTGTACCTTGTACGCTAGATGCCGCTGTATTCTTTAGTAAAACGCGGCTTGCGGTAGTTACTACATGGTTACTACTAGATGGCGTAATTTGTCAATGACTAAATTGGTAATTATGAACTATGCAGTTTTATTAATAATGTTTCTGTTTATGCATTCTACCAGATAATTATTGGATATCTACAATGATTATCTTAAATCTCCAAATGGTAATTTTGCAGATAACATTAACACTAATAAAACTTAACCTACTTCACATAAGATTTTATTTTAATATTAATATCAAACACTGAATAGAATTTTAATTATGTATTTATTTTCTTTTATGAATGTTATAATATTTAATAGCTTGAGTCAATGTCAACATTATCATTTTCACAATCACAAATCAGTAGTTAATAATTTTCCATTTAGCAGCCTGTTAACATTGGTGCATAAACTGTGAACAACCACATTTATTATTATATTTAGTAAATAATCATAAAGCCTAAATTATGATTTTCACAAGAGAGGAACGAAAAGTTGCAAAATATTTTCGTTTTCTGAATTATTGTATCAATAATATTCGTATTTATTAGAAAGAACTGTCAACCGAGTGTGTCAACCATAACTATAGACCAAAACTGCCATAGATTTAGGTTTTTTTGGCTTTCGATTCTGGGGTTTTAGTCAAATTAACGCCATCTATACAACGCTGAACAAAACTAGCCTACAAGTTTATGTACCTGGTTCACTAGAGGGCAGAACTTTCAATGCATTTTTTATTCTTGTAAATTTGTATGGCAGTTTCATCCCCCTGTTGCTCACTACAAGCAGTCGGCGCCGTCGCCGCCCAGTCCAGGGGGATGAAACTGCCATACAAATTTACAAGAATAAAAAATGCATTGAAAGTTCTGCCCTCAGTGAACCAGGTACATAAACTTGTAGGCTAGTTTTGTTCAGCGTTGTATAGATGGCGTTAATTTGACTAAAACCCCAGAATCGAAAGCCAAAAAAACCTAAATCTATGGCAGTTTTGGTCTATAGTTATGGTTGACACACTCGGTTGACAGTTCTTTCTAATAAATACGAATATTATTGATACAATAATTCAGAAAACGAAAATATTTTGCAACTTTTCGTTCCTCTCTTGTGAAAATCATAATTTAGGCTTTATGATTATTTACTAAATATAATAATAAATGTGGTTGTTCACAGTTTATGCACCAATGTTAACAGGCTGCTAAATGGAAAATTATTAACTACTGATTTGTGATTGTGAAAATGATAATGTTGACATTGACTCAAGCTATTAAATATTATAACATTCATAAAAGAAAATAAATACATAATCAAAATTCTATTCAGTGTTTGATATTAATATTAAAATAAAATCTTATGTGAAGTAGGTTAAGTTTTATTAGTGTTAATGTTATCTGCAAAATTACCATTTGGAGATTTAAGATAATCATTGGAGATATCCAATAATTATCTGGTAGAATGCATAAACAGAAACATTATTAATAAAACTGCATAGTTCATAATTACCAATATAGTCATTGCCAAATTACGCCATCTAGTAGAAACCATGTAGTAACTACCGCAAGCCGCGTTGTACTAAAGAATACAGCGGCATCTAGCATACAAGGTACACTCATTCGAAAACTAAAATGTGAGTGGCGCATCTATCTCTGGTATATAGTGTATTATCTATGGTGAGCGCGCGGACACCGCACCAGCACAAAGAAGTTGGCTTGGAAGTATGACTGGTCAAATTAATGAATAGGTGCACATAATTGCTCACTAAATGCTCAATACAAATCTGCAATTGCTCACATTATTAATTTATTATTTAAATAGTTATTAATAATTTAAAATAAAGAATTGTTTTTGTCTATTATACATAAAACCAATAAACTTTTTTTTTAAATGAATAACTGCCCATAATTGCTCACAAAATGCTTAATTTAAATCCGCAAATGCTCACACTATTAATAAATTATTTAATTATTTATTAATAATTTAAAATACAAAATTGTTTTTACCTACACCGATCAGATTAATGAATATGCGCTAATAATTGCTCACAAAATGCCTAATTGAAATCCACAATTGTTCACACTATTAAATAATTATTTAATTACTTATTAAAAATTTAAAATACAAAATTGTATTTTCCTAAACCATTCAGATTAATGAATAAGTGCTCATAATTGCTCACTTAATGCTCAATTCAAATCTGCAATTGCTCACACTATTAATTAATTATTTAATTAGATATTAATAATTAAAAATACAGAATTGTTTTTGTCTATTATACTTAAAACCAATAAACCAATTTAAAAATGAATAAGTGCCATAATTGCTCACAAAATGCTTAATTGAAATCCGCAATTGTTCACACTATTAAATAATTATTTAAGTACTTATTAAAAATTTAAAAACAAAATTGTTTTTTCCTAAACCATTCAGATTAATGAATAAGTGCTCATAATTGATCACTTAATGTTCAATTCAAATCTGCAATTTCTCACACTATTAATGAATTATTTAATTAGTTATTAATAATTTAAAATACAGAAATGTTTTTGTCTATTATACTTAAAACCAATAAACCAATTTTAAAATGAATAAGTGCCCATAATTGCTCACAATATGCTTAATTGAAATCCGCAAATGCTCACACTATTAATAAATTATTTAATTATTTATTAAAAGTTTAAAATACAAAATTGTTTTTGCCTACAGCGATCAGATTAATGAATATGCGCTCATAATTGCTCACTAAATGCTCAATTCAAATCTGCAATTGCTCACACTATGAATTAATTATTTAATTACTTATTAAAAATTTAAAATACAAAATTGTTTTTTCCTAAACCAATCAGAATAATGAATAAGTGCTCATAATTGCTCACTAAATGCTCAATTCAAATCTGCAATTGCTCACACTATTAATTAATATTTTAATTAGTTATTAATAATTTAAAATACAGAATTGTTTTTGTCTATTATACTTAAAACCAATAAACCAATTTTAAAATGAATAAGTGCGCATAATTGCTCACAAAATGCTTAATTGAAATCCGCAAATGCTCACACTATTAATAAATTATTTAATTATTTATTAATAGTTTAAAATACAAAATTGTTTTTTCCTACACCGATCAGATGAATGAATATGCGTTCATAATTGCTCACTAAATGCGCAATTCAAATCTGCAATTGCTCACACTATTAATGAATTAATTAATTAGTAATTAATAATTTAAAATACAGAATTGTTTTTGTCTATTATACTTAAAACCAATAAACCAAAATTAAAATGAATAAATGCTCATAATTGCTCACAATATGGTTAATTGAAATCCGCAAATGCTCACACTATTAATAAATTATTTAATTATTTATTAAAAATTTAAAATACAAAATTGTTATTTCCTACACCGATCAGATAAATGAATATGCGCTCATAATTGCTCACTAAATGCTCAATTCAAATCTGCAATTGCTCACACTATTAATTAATTATATAAATAGTTATTAATAATTTAAAATACAGAATTTTTTTTGTCTAATATACTTAAAATCAATAATTTTTTTTTAAATGAATAACTGCCAATAATTGCTCACTAAATGCTCAATTCAAATCTGCAATTGCTCACACTATTAATTAATTATTTAATTAGTTATTAATAATTTAAAATACAGAATGGTTTTTGTCTATTATACATAAAACCAATAAACTTTTTTTAAATGAATAACTGCCCATAATTGCTCACAATATGCTTAATTGAAATCCGCAAATGCTCACACTATTAATAAATTATTTAATTATTTATTAAAAATTTAAAATACAAAATTGTTTTTTCCTACACCGATCAGATTAATGAATATGCGCTCATAAGTGCTCACTAAATGCTCAATTCAAATCTGCAATTGCTCACACTATGAATTAATTATTTAATTACTTATTAAAAATTTAAAATACAAAATTGTTTTTTCCTAAACCAATCAGAATAATGAATAAGTGCTCATAATTGCTCACTAAATGCTCAATTCAAATCTGCAATTGCTCACACTTTTAATCAATAATTTAATTAGTTATTAATACGTTTAAAATACAGAATTGTTTTTGTCTATTATACGTAAAACCAATAAACCAATTTTAAAATGAATAAGTGCTCATAATTTCTCACAAAATGCTTAATTGAAATCCGCAATTGTTCACACTATTAAATAATTATTTATTAATTATTAAAAATTTAAAATACAAAATTGTTTTTTCCTACACCGAACAGATTAATGAATATGCGCTCGTAATTTCTCACTAAATGCTCAATTCAAATCTGCAATTGCTCACATTATTACTTTAATATTTAAATAGTAATTAATAATTTAAAATACAGAATTTTGTTTGTCTATTATACTTAAAACCAATAAACTTTTTTCTAAATGAATAACTGCCCATAATTGCTTATAAAATGCTTAATTTGAATCCGCAAATGCTCACACTATTAATAAATTATTTAATTATTAATTAATAGTTTAAAATACAAAATTGTTTTTTCCTACACCGATCAGATTAATGAATATGCGCTCATAATTGCTCACTAAATGTTCAACTCAAATCTGCAATTGCTCACACTACTAATTAATTATTTAATTAAATATTAATAATTTAAATTACAAAATTGTTTTTCCTAAACCACTCAGATTAATGAATAAGTGCTCTTAATTGTTCAGTTAAAGCTCAATTCAAATCCGCATTTGCTTAATTAATAAATTTTTTTTTTTTTTAATAGGATGAGGGTGACAAACGAGCACACAGTCCACCTGATGGTAAGTGGTTGCTGCGGCCCATAGACATCTACATCTATC